AGAGGGACACTGGTCAGCTGACTGCCCCCGTGCACCTTGTGGCATGGGGACATCAAACAAAGCCCACCCTCCAGTCAATCTCTTAGGCTTGGCCATGGGCGAAGATTGAAGGTGCCATCTCTCACAGGGAACCCAGGACAGCCATTATAGTATCAGGGCGATCCATTTCCTTCCTTTTGGACACTGGAGCCACTTACTCAATCCTGAGGGTGTTTTGGGGTCCCACTGCTCCTCATTTCCCTATTGTCAGGGTAGGGGAACAGCCTTACCTATGTCACCAGACTCTACCTCTTAATTGTATTTTCAGGGGAATCCCTCTCACCCACACATTTTTAGTTGTGCCAACCTGCCCTGTGCCCCTAATGGGGAGAGATTTTCTAGCTAAGGTAGGAGCTTTTATTTCGTTTGCTCCCCCCATTTGCCTCACTCCAGACTCGTCAGCAGTACCTCTCCTCCTCCTAGCCACTCAACCTACCAGCTCTAGCATTTCCTTTCCCTTGCCAGCCTCTCAGGTGGACCCCAAAGTCTGGGACACCCAGAACCCTTCTATTGCTAGATACCATCCCCCTAGTATTATCATCCAGTTTCTACTCAGCTAATTGTTATAGAACCACCATAGAGTCGGAGGCCAAGGACCATCAAGTATACTCAGGCAGTAAGGAATAGTAACAGTCCAGAGGTATTTACACCCCCAGACTCAAAAGGGTCTGGACTCGGCAAAAAACAGACTTTAATATAACAATCTATTACTGTTAAATGCCCTCAGCAATTGATCACCTATGTCTCCTGGATGCTAAACTACTAAAGAAAACAGGAGCCTTGAGGTTTGCCTTAGATAAGGCTTATCTCAGGCGATATTAAAAGCATGTTCCAGATTTCTCTCTCTCTCTTGCTAAGACTAACCAATAAAATTCTGATAGCAGATCATTTGGCTTAAAAGGGCTTATTGGGAAATGTTATCATTTATACTATTTTCTACAGAGAAAATATTTTACTGTTTAAAATAACCCTGGACTTTTAAATTATAACCTGTTTTTATGTTCAAGCTGTTTGTGTATTATTTCTCCTGCAGTTGTCCATAAAATGTTTTTACATTTAAAAAAGGAAAAATACTATAGAATTGTATTACATGAAATATACAGAATATACAAATTCATAGAGACAGAAAGATTAGATGTTATCTCAAGATAGAGAAGAAAGGAATATAGAGTAATAATTTACTAAGTACATAATCTCTGTTTTGTGTGATGGAAAAACCCCACAAATGGGCAATAGTATTAGGACATAATATCATGAGTGTAATAAATCAATACAATTAGTGTAATTAATATCATAAATATAATTATTGAATGAAAAAAATTCTGATAGCAGAGTACTAAACATTATAATATCATGGCTACCAGCTCAAAATTTTGAATTTCCTGTGGCTACTTCTTTTTTTTTTTCTTTTGTGGCTACTTCTTTGGCACAGCCATATCTGAATGGAATGACTCATGTCATAAAGCCAGCACAGCTGTTTGACAAAGATCCAGCAAAGCTGAGCCACATGATGGCTGCCATGTCACCTTTGGTTTTCATCTTCACCTGTTACATACTTGGGGCACTTTTAATATTTGTACAATTTGAGGATATTAGATTGATGGAAAGTTCCTTATGAATCATTTATGCCTTCTCCCAGGAATGCTGCTTCTAAGCTTATCCAAGAAAGTCCTGAACATACTATTCCCCCACACACACTTTGAGGGAGATATCCTTATCTACTTGAAGGTCTTCCTTATGCCTTGGAGGTCGTGACACATAAAGAAGCCAGAGGTCTCTTCATGGGGCTATTAGACATTCTTGAAACATCTCTCCCTGCACTTACACTGGAACAAGATATTCAAAACAAAGTAAATTTAAAAAAGGTCAACAAGATCCGGTGGGCTAGAGGAGTTGGCCACAGTTCAGATTACAAGCCTCTTCCCACTGTACACTCAGACAATTACATGGCATACAACTCTGCCCTATATAGAGACATACTGATGAGTAAAGTATGGAGTAGAAAGATGATAAAAGTATGAGGTGTTAGGACCTCCCTCTCTCAGAAGTTAGCTCATGCAGAGCCACTATAATGTCATATGACCAAGGAACAACAGAATGCCAAGATTAGACATATAGACAAATTCTATGAAAATATAAATGTGAACATTGATTATATTATGTCAGAATTTGAATAATAACTACAGCAGCTTTAGCTTGTGGATTTTTCCTGGGCACTCTGACCACTAAGAGTTAATAATACACTGCTTGAGACATGACAAACTGCCCAGAGTGGTTGAAGATTTTGTTTTGGTTTAGTGTCCTTGAAGCAACCCAAACAACCAGCCTGAGCACAGGCTATCATATGCCTCTAGATTCTCAAAAATTGGGTCATGGGGTTAATGAGTAAAAATGATAACTCTGTTTATTAATGATGTCAAAACTTGAGGGGAAATGATTGGAATGATAACTCTGTTCTGTCATAATTTATTAATGATGTCTAAAAGATGAACAAAAGTAAGTGAAACACATGTCAAAACCAAAAATGATGTGATCTATGTTTGGAACACCATGAATATATCCCTGCTAACTAAATTCTGTATAAATAAAGAAACACTCTGGCTCCTAGTCAGTCAGGCTGCAAGATTCTCCCGACCACCATGGCCTGGCTCATTTCCTTCTCCTGCCTCCTTACACCCTCTGCAGGACCCACCCACCACAGGGAATGGCTCCCAGCACTTCTTCATGCTTAAAAATTCTCCTGAGCTCCAGAACAAGCTTGAATCTACCTAGTCAGATCCACTCCATATAAGTATAATTCAAACTTTCCTGGTCCCAGGACCCCTTCCCTCACCCTGGGACCCCTGGAGGAACCCATTCAAGGTAAAATTTTTTCTAAACTCCCTCTTCTGCCTCGTCAGCACTTTGTCAGACTAAAACAGTCACAGAGCCTGAAGCAGTGGAAGATGATGGATGATTCCCGAAGCAGCAGAGAATAATCCACTACCTCAGAATGTCTGGCTACCTCAAAAGCCCCCTTCCTTAACTCCAAAAGTTAACCGACGCCCAACGAGTCAGCTGGAAGCAGTTTTGGGAGACACGCCATTCCTGTTCACCCACCATTTTTTATAAGAACAAAGAGTCTGGAATGTTAGAATTCCTAGGCACTCCCCAATGACCATGCATATGCTGGCAAGATGCTTAGTCATCCCAGGGCCTTACATCCTACATAATCTGTGCACTGTGTGATCACATAACTTGCGTGCAGCATGATCTGATGACATAATCTATATGCATTTGCGGCGTAGCTACAAAAGCCCATATTTGCAAGTGTGGGAGGAATCTATAAAAGCGGGTCCCTCTCATCCCTCTGCCCTCTCTTCCTGCATGATCTTTCCATAGGCCTAAGCACCCCCTTCTGTTCCCTTCCCTTAATAAACTCTTATGGTGGGCTTTGTTGTACCTCATGGCTTTTCTCGAACAATAAACAGCACAGCTTAATAAATAACAGTGGCCACCTTTAAAATCAGCACCCTGGATGTGGTGGGAACCTTTAAAATCAGCACCCTGGATGCAGTAGGATTATGAATTCCAGGCCAGTCAGGGTCACTTGGGAAGACTGTCTCAAACAATCCAGAAAGCCAAGTGTTAATAATGAACTGATATTTTAGAATACCTACTTAGATTTACAACTCATATGCTAATTATAAACTACCCTAAGGAACTATAAGCCTACATAGTCTAAATTATTGGTACTATTTAATTTCTTCACTTAAAGATACCCTTTTTTTTCTATTATAGAAAGTGTATATGCCCATTGAAAATTTAGGCAAGTGCTCTACCATTGAGCTACAATCACAGCCAGAATCACAGAAAATATTTTTGAGATTTAATTAATTAATTAATTTTTTTTTCTTTTTTGAGACAGGGTTGCACTATGTATCACTGTCGGAACTGGAACTCACTACGCAGACCAGTTTGGCCTAGAACTCAAAGAGATCTGCCTGGCTCTGCCTCTTGAGTGCTGGAATTAAAGGCATGCACCATCATGTCTGACTTTGAGATTGTTATTTTATGTGTATAAGTATTTATATGAATGTATGTCTGAGCACCAAATGCATACAGTACTATGAATAACAGAAGAGGGAATCAGATCCCTTGTTAGTGGAGTTACTAATAGTTTCCAGTAGCCATGTTGGTACTGGAAATTAAACCTGGATCCTGTGGAAGAGCAGCCAGTGCTCTTAACCATTGAGTCATCTCTCCAGCCCCAGAATTACAGAAATTAAAATATATATATATATATTTAAATTCATTTTATGTGTATGAGAGTTTGGCCTGAATTGATGTCTTACACTATGCCTACAGAGACCAGAAGAAATCATTGGATCTGAGAGTTACAGACGGTAGTGAGCCACCATGTGGGTGTTGGGAATTGAACATGGTTCCTCTGAAAGAATAGCCACTGCTCTTAACTGCTAAGCCATCTCTATAGCACTATCATGAAAGACACTTAAAAATGAAATTTTATTGTGTATGTGTGTGTGTGTGTGGGCACACATGTGGAAGTCAGGACAACTTGGGGGAATTCTCTCCTTCTACCATTTGGGTCCTGGGAATTGGTCAGGTGTCTTTACCCTCTAAGCTACCTTACTACTACTCAAAGTGAAAATCTGAAAGGCAAACTCTCTTTACTCAGAGATAAGCAGAGTTGGCACATGACTAAAATCCTTTGGAAATGTTTCTATATGACCATGTGAATGTCTGGATTTATGAAAACAGTGTTGACTTCCTTAGCTTCATAGAGTGTGGCCTCATTTCCATGTCAGTAGCACTAAGCATGAGAGGGTAATTAACTTCCCAGTGTGGACATTTAGGGCACCGTCCACACTGTGAGCATAAGCAGTACTGACGTGTACTCAAGCACCTTTGCACTTTGCTAGACTCAACTCGCTAACCTCGCTTGCTGAACAGACTCTTACCTTGCAATAACGGATTCAACTGGCATGATACCAGGCACATAGTGGGCCATGGGAGAAACAAAGTGTCCATCTAGGATCTTACAATCTGACTGCTCTTCAACCTAAAAGAAAAGAAAACCAAGGTGTATGCAACATAGATTAAGGTATTGGTCTATAATGGACTTCTGGATGATGAAAAATTCTATTCAACTAAAAACTAACATTCTCTCAGTTCTTTCACTTAAGCCTCATTTTTATCAACAAGAAAATCCTTAGCACCAAAACCCTTTTCAGTGCTTCCTATGTTTCCTTTTAGCCTCACTGTTTTCCCACCAAAAGATATATTTTTATTCAAGACTACTTATAGTTTCATATTTATTTAAAGACTATCATATAACTGGTATTTTCTGAAAAATTTCATGCAGTTCTTTCAAATTCCTCCATTTATCTTTACCTAACAGGGAATTATCCATCATGCCTTTTTAAAGACAGCTTCTCCTTCACATATTTGTTTTCTTTCTACTCTACAGTCTAGTTGGGAAATAATAAATTTAATTCACACACTGGCATGCAATGTCTTAAAATAAAATACAAGTTAAAGGAATTCAGTACCATTCAACAGGGCTAGGAGTACAGCTTAGTACAAAGCACGTGGCTAGCAGAGAGATCCTGGGTTCAACTCTAGGTACTACTTAAACAAAAACAATCAAAAGCACTTAATATAAAAGCATTCAAAAGTACAACTTGGAAGCAGCAGTACTTGGTGCAGTCTAAGTTGATACCAAATATTCAGAGTGGTCTGATGTCATGCTACTTGCTGGTGCATTACATAAGGAAAAAAAGGGATTTCCATCTGTAGTAAAGGCAATTTATAGGCAGCAGTGGTAACACATGCTTAAAATCACTACGGTTTTGAAGCTGAGGCAGGAGCCTCATAAGTTCAAAACTAGCTTGGATTACATAGCAAGACCTTTTCTCAAAAAATTCAGACAAAAAAAGGCTAACATTCAATACCTAGGCTTATTTCTCAGTAAGTCATTCCTTAAAATGAAAAACTTTATTTCAGATCAAAGGTTAAAATTAAAGTAGCAGGAAAGTATCACATAAACAAACACTAAAAAAATAAAAACAAAACTCCATCCATGTTAGTGGCTTCAATTTTTCAAAGTCCAGCATTGTGTCTGTGAATTAACATTAGTAAATGTGTTTTCTTCCACACAGCAGGCACTCTACTAATGAACTACATTCCTTGTCCCTACCATTAAAAAAAACAAAAACAAGCTGGGTGTCTTGGGGCATGTCAGGCAGATCTCTGAGTCTGAGGCTAGCCTGGTCTACAGAGTGAGTTCCAAGACAGCCAGAGCTACAGAGATTTCCTATCTCAAAAATGACAACAAAAATAAAACAAACCACAAAATGTAGATGGTTGAGCAAATATCTATTTAACAATCCAAATTTTTAAAAAAAGGTTAAGGCTGGGTAGTGGCAGTGGCAGGGTGCATGCCTTTAATCCCAGCACTCAGAGGCAAAGGCAGGTGGATCTCAGTGAGCTCGAGGCCAGCCTGGTCTACAGCGTGAGTTCCAGGACAGTCAGAGCTGTTACACAAAGAAACCCTGTCTTGGAAAACCAAATTAATTAAAATTAAAATTAATCAACTAATTAAAATTCAATTTAATTTTTAAAAAAGGTTAAAATGCTATTTTACCACCCGCTGTGTTACCAAGCCTTGCTTATCAGATTCTAATCAGCCTATATTTTTGCACCAGTAGAATATTTCAGTAAGTGCAGGTTTACAACACTCATTTATATATATGACTACATTAATCTTTGTCATTCTTCCTTTTCAGAGTATTCCTGATCTGACTGTACTGTCTTTACCTAAATAGAGATGGCTTTAACGTTATATTATACACTGTGTATCTTCTGTGTGTGTAACTCAGACTTGCCTTGAACTCACTGTATAGTCAAGGATGTCTTTCAACTTCTAATCCTCTGCTTCCACTCACCAAGTGCTAGAATTTCAGGTGTGTACAACCACAACAGGTTTTATAGAGGGCTGGCTATCAAACCCCAGGCCTTGTGCGAGCTAGGCAAACAACCTATCAACAGATCTATATTCTCAGCTCCCCAAATTCTACACTGATTAATTGGAGCTGCACTGAATTTTAAAAAAATGCTCAAAGAAAAATAAATCTGTAAAGTACTAAATTTTAATCTAAGAATTTTATCCCCTCTGCCCCCTTTTTTGAGATTGACCATAGGTTTAGTAAGAAAAAATGAGAAAGAACTCTCAGGAGTAGGAGGGACCCAAAGGGAGGAATACCCTCTATTCAATTTTCATATCGTTTACTATATAGCTTAAGATTTCCTGGCCAGGGATGATGGTGTATGGGCAGATTTCTGTGAGCTCAAGGCAAGCCTGGTCTACATAGTGAATTCTAGACCAGCCAGGGCTACACAGTGAGATCCTGTCTCAAAACTAAACCAAACCTATTTCCTCATCTATTTTCAAAAACTAAGTTGATAAAAGAGGCATCACAAGCTAATATCTCACTAAGGATCTATACAGAGGGTAGGGACAACTAATGTGAACGGGGAATAATTCAACAGGCAATGTGAGGCTGGCTGAAAGGGAATAAAAACATCTTAAGATAGATACAAAGTTAGAGAACACAGGGCAAGACACAACTCAGCAGATAATCAAACTGTAAAAACAAGCAAAGGAAACTGGCAGATGGTTCAGCACTTAAGAGTACTTGTTCTTGCAGTGGACCAGAGTTCAGTCCCCAGCACCCATACCAGGTGGCCCACAACTGTAACTCCAGCTACAGACGATCCAAAACCTTCCTGCCTCTCCAAGCACTGCACACACATGTAAATAAAACTTTCTTTAAAAACGAGCAAAGGATTTGAAAAGACCTAGCAGTTGGCCCAACATAGTATGAAGTTCAGCATCATTCATATTAGGGAGACACAAGTCACAACTACAGAGATATTTATATTAGGAGGGCTGAGGAAAGTACAAGTGCTGGTGAGAATCTGGTCGAACTGGGATTCCTGTACAGTGCTGGAGAGGATATAAAGTGGTGCTGATACTTTGTGAAATCTCTGGAGTTTTGCTAGGTTAGACATAGTTACCACATGAACCAACAATAAACTCACATGTATAGTAAACATAACTACTTTGTATAGAATGTTCACACAACATTTGTACTTGGAAGTTCACAGTAGCATTATTCATAACAGTCATAATAGCCAACAAATAGTAGAAACAACACAAATGTCTATGAATTTATGAGGTGGAAGGAGAGAACTAAGTCTATAGAGTCCTCTAGTCTACTAATCTACATGTGTGAGGTGGCATCTGTGCCCACCCACATACACTATGTACACAGTAAAAATTAATGAATTAAAAATAGTTTCTAAGAGCCAAACACCAAAGACCACATACTGCATAATTCCATTTATAAGAAATGTCCTAGGAGGGCAGTGGTGGTGGTGCACACCTTTAATCCCAGCACTTGGGAGGTAGAGGCAGGCAGATCTCAGCCTGGTCTACAAAGCGAGTTCTAGGACATCCAGGACACTCAGAGAAACCCTGTCTCAAAAACATAAAAACAAAACAAAACAAACAAACAAACAAAAGAAATGTCCTAAACATGAGATTCCATAGATATAGAAAGCAAATTAGTAATTGCCAGTATGTGGGGACAGAAACAGTGGGAAATGATAGAGTGTGAGTGTGTCTTTGGGATCAATAATATCATGGAATAAAATAGTAAAAAAAAAAAAAAAAAAGTGATTGATAGCTAATGGTTATATACTTAGGTAACAAATCTAAAACATTCCGTTGTATACTTTAAAAAGGTATACTTTTTTTTTTTTTTTTTTTTTTTTTTTTTGGTTTTTCGAGACAGGGTTTCTCTGTGTAGCTTTGCGCCTTTCCTGGAGCTCACTTGGTAGCCCAGGCTGGCCTCGAACTCACAGAGATCCGCCTGGCTCTGCCTCCCGAGTGCTGGGATTAAAGGCATGCGCCACCACCGCCCGGCTAAAAAGGTATACTTTATGACACGTCAATTATAATTTAAAATTTAAACCCTGAGGGTGGGATCTGTCTTATCTCAAATTGTTAAGATTATCTATCCTCTCAGGGAATACAGAAACAGGATCAGGAGGTGGAGACTAGCAGAGATGAACGAAGACTTGATTTTCACTTGGCACACTCTTCTTATTTTAAAAGCCTATATTCCTGGTATCTTGGTATGTTTACTTGTGCATGTATTTCTTTACTGTGTGCTGTTGTAGAATATTATTTCAAGGTGTGTTACTTTTGTTCATGCTCTGGAACATTTGTTTAATGATGCAAAGATGTGTTTGATTAAATAAAATTCACCTGTGGTCTGGAGGTTGCATCAACAACTAGCTGACAGGAAGTGGTAGAAAGGAGCCAGGTGAGAAAGGGTTTATAAGGAGGGGCGAGGGGGACACACCAGGGCTTTTTGGAGAACGCCAACAAGGAGAGGAGGTGAGCTACTTGCTATTCAGCCTCTGAAGAGTAGAATTCCACCTTAACCCTTGAATCTTGAGTTCTTTAGTGGGAGAGAGGTTTAGTTAGGTTCCCTTCGTAGCTTTTCAAGAGTTAGAGCCACCTGCTCTCCACTTACTTGTTTTCTATATGTTGGGACAGTCTTTCTACGTAGCCCTAGTTGTCCTAGAACTCGTTATGTGGACTGACTGGCTTTGAACTCACAGACATAGTGCTGGGATTAAAGGCACCTCTATTTTTTGCAACTAAGTCTCTCACTAGCCTGGAGCTTGCAGTTTCTACTAGACTAGCTGATCAGCAATCCCCAAGACTCCTCCTGTCTTCGATTCTCCAATGCTACTGTTAAGGGTGCCCACTTCCATGCCTGGCTTTGAAGTGAGTCCTGGAGATCTGAACTCAGATTCTCATGCTTGTGTAATGGGGATTGTATCCACTAAGCCATCTCCTCAGCCAGTAAAAGCCTACTAATTTTTGGGGGGTGGGTGGGTGGGAGGATAGGGTCTCTCTGTGTAGCCTTAGCTGCCCTAGAACTCACAGAGATCCTCCTGCCTTTGCCTCCCAAAAGCCACCACACTGGCTAAAAGTGCCCCCCCACCCCCAAGATGGGGTTTCTCTGTGTAGCCTTGGCTGTCTTGGAACTCACTCTGTAGACCAGGCTAGCCTCAAACTTACTGAGATCCACTTGCCTCTGCCTCCCAAGTGCTGTGATTAAAGGTGTGAGCCACCACTGCCTCACCCAAGAGCCTATAATATTAAAAGAAAAAAAAAATCCAGAGAAAAATGGAAATATTCACCAAAATTTAAGTCACAAAGAAAAATTTTAAACTTAGTCTAGGTGTAACATCTATGGTGTAGAGAAGGTTTCCACTTATAAGTTTCTGGGTTTTATCAGGGGGAATCTTCTGGTGAAGGAAATCTAAATATATCCAATATTTAAAAGATGCAAGTACACTTACTTCAGCCGAAGGTCAGGAATGGACTGGGAAACTCACCCATCTATTTCCCTTCTCCTATAATATCTCAAAGTACTCAATTACACATACTTAAATTTTACAGAAAAGCAACTGATTGCTTATGAAACAAAACCATTTCAAAAATATTCTCTCCTTCTCTAAGTTCAGAGCATTTTCTTTCTAGCCTTCTCCGAGCAATGTATTCTATTATAGCTCCCTGGTACTTCCTAATGGCTGCTTTTGCAAATAATGCCTAATGTGCTGATTTTCCAAGTAGATGGCTTTCTTTTAATACTTACTAGTCTTCTTTAATATTCTTCTTTCCTGTTGAATAATTGAACCCTCAGGAGCCTAAGGATACAAAATGAAACTCAGAAAAAAACGCAGCCTAAATACTGTGTATTCAGGCAAATGCTAAACATATGTTCCACATTACTTATGAATAAAATTATTAAAACGTGGTTGAGGTAGAATAGCATTCTTTAAATATGCAGAAATCCTCCGTGGCATTGTCTCAGGATGACTGCTACGGATCTTTTCACTTTTGTTCTTGCATACCTTATCAATGTGTACCGGATAGTCGCGTGAAACCAGATTCTGGCACCTTTCTCGATTTCCAATCATCTTTCTGAATTCAAAGAGTCTATTAGGAGACAAAAAGTTTGTTTTTTTAACCAACCGCATTTTATGCTAACTATTATACCTACTGTGTTATGAGTGATGAGTAGTGATTAAAATTAGCAAATTCAAACAAGAAGCCATGTTCAATTCAACTTTTACCACTGATAGAAAAGGATACTTTTTCTTCTCTTTTAGAAATTGGAAAACTTTTCTTAAAAATATGAAAAACAAAATTGTTCAGAAGTAATGAACACATTTACAGTTAAAAATGAAAGGGGCCAATCTGAAAATAATTTTTCTTAGGTTTTCCCATGAGCTCCAGTGTATTCCAGTTTCACAGCTATTGAGAATTCAGGTTATCCAAGAAAATCAGTGCCTGGAAACCACACACAACTTCAACCAGCCTAGCAATAACTGATGCTAAAAAAATTGTTTGTACCCAAGTCATGATGCTATAAGCTAAAATGTACAGAAATAACTCAGAGAATGAAAGGAAAACATTTTATAGAGTTAAATATTTCCTCAATAAGCCAATCTAGATTTGAAACTAAAATATTTTATAACCGAAATAAAAATTTAACTGTGTATTAAAACAATAAATTCAAAACAACTATTCATGGACTGGAGAGGTGGTCACAGTAGTTCAAGTGCTCAACAAGAGCACTTGTTGCTCTTGCTGAAGACTCGGGTTTGGTTCCCAGCACCCATATGGTGACTCACAATCATTCACACCTCCATTTCCAGGAGATCTGATGCCCTCTTCTGATCCCCGAAAGCACAAAGCACATACGTGGTGCACACATATATATGCAGGCAAGCATTCATACACACAAAATAAACAGCCAAACATTCACGAAACACACACACACACACACACACACACACACACACACACACACACACACACACACACTACCTCTTGAGATCTTCTGGCCTTCCCCATCCTCTGATGAAAAGTTTTGTGAGGAGAAGTCTCCGGTACAGAATATCTAACTTGCTTACACCCATGAGTGCCAAACAGCATCTAGAAGTAAAATTTAAAATGACTTCAAAATATTTTCACTTTTATTAAAGCAGCAGGTCAACTTTCTAACCATTTATCTGAATACCAGGTAAAATCAAAACTGAAGAGTAAACCCTTGAATTTGCCCCTGTAAAAATACAATAGGAGATTAAAGCAGAGAAAGTAAGAGCCTAAGGCCTCACCAAGGATGAATTCTTCTGGGGTAAGTGCTTGTATCCTGACTACAGGGACTGATATCTATTGTGCTGGAAAGTAAGAGTAGGTAGGGACTGATGCATAGTACTGGAGTATCAGCCAGGCTCTATTTCAATGACAACACACAGGGATTCTCTGGGTTAGACAGAGAAACTGAGACAGAGAAAATATTTATCCTAGGCCACATAACTAGTGGAGAAGCGGGTCAAGCTGCAACTTCAGGCATAATATCCCAGATGTAGCAGGCTACCACCCAACTGTTACAGTGAACAAACAACTGTAACTAGAGCTTCTAGTTGGACACTATTTACTTCTCTGTGTGCATGTGGCCCCCCTACCCCACCCCCAGATAGGGATTTTTTGTGTAGCCCTGGCCATCTTAAAACTCGGTAGACCAGGCTGACCTCAAACTCAGAGATCTGCCTGCCTCTCCCTCACCAATGCTGGGATTAAAGGTGTATGGTACCACTAGCTAGCTAATTTATCAAATATTTCCAAGAAATTTTTAATATTTACCTGAACTTTTCCCAATTAAAAGGTATAGTTTTGGGCTTGAGATGTAGCTAAGATAGAGTGCTTGCTTAACAGGCTTGAAACCCCCAATACTACAAAAATGAAAGCTACAGTTTTGATTTATGGGCAAACCTGACTCAGATTCAAGTTTAACTGCACAGAGACATATGAAAAATGAAAATTTACCTTTACATCAATTAACTTTAATAAATATCTATTGCTTCAAAAGTTTTGAACAATTTTTACCTATATATATTTTTTGATATATTACAAGTTCAATTTAATGTGGGTTCCTGCCCCCCTTAGGGGAGGGGTCTCAAGCAGCACAGGCTGGTCTTCAACTCACTATGTAGTTGAGGTTACCCCTGAACTTCTGATCCTCCCAGGCTCTGGGATCACAGGTATGACCCCCATGCCTGGCTTTGCTGTGTTCTGTTCTCTTTGAGATAGTATCTGGTCTATAGTCCATGGTTGTTGGTAGAGCACAGGTGGCCTCAAACTTGGGGCATCCCTTCTGCTTTAGATCTCCAAATGCTAGACTTCTGGGTGTGCGGCACTCCTGGCTGCCTTAACAGTTTTCTTTGTATAATGTACACTTTAACCCACAGTCAACTGGACTGGCACTTTACCTTCTTCTTAGGACTGGACCAGCAAAGCAAGTTGTTCATACTGTTTCACAATTCTCATGACCAAAGATTTATTAGATACAGTTACTCCTTAGGCTATCACAAAAACTGCCAAGCCCACAGCTCTGCATTCAGCCTACTTCCATGAAATCTTTCCGTAATAGACAGCCCTAGGTGTATAGTTACAATTGTCTGAACCACAATCTTGCAATCAGAATCACTTCTGTGAAGACCCTCTCTCCTAGCAAACAACACAAGAAACACTGTGCAGCAAGCCTCAGTAACCAGGGCACCACAACCTATATGCACTTCTTTTTGCCTTCAAAGTTTTAACTTGTCTCAGTCTCCTTAGATGTATCCATCACAGCACATATATCCTGGGGGTTGTAATCACCTGCATAGTCCCAAATAAATTCACTTTTTTGAGAGTGTCTCTGCTATTAAAATGCAAAGAAGCAACACTTCTAACGTGAAATCATTCATTTGAATTTCCTGTAAAATGTTTCTGGCTGAATGTATAAAACAAACGTTTGTGGTAATACCTTGAAATTCACTTTTGAAAACCTTGGTTGCACTTAGTAACAAATCTCCCGTTTTAGCTTGAATATTCAATTGAAATCCATTTTCTTTGGCAAAACCCACCAAATCTTCAAACTCGTATTTATAATATACTTTACTTTTCTAGTCTTACGAATATAGACAACCGGGTGAGTTTTAGCCTTTTCTGGTCCTTAGGACACTCAATTTAAGTACTTGACAAAGGCCAAAGTGGCTTTGTGACGTAGCTGGGGCTGAGGCAAAGCGGAGGCGCGCGCTCCACCCGCCCTCTTTTGCCGCAGGCCGTGGGAATGGATACATCTGCCCACGTGCGGAGAGCCCGCTGGCCATGACAACGACGACTACCACCATAACCGCGGTACGCTCCATCTCCTGCCCTGCTGATCCTCAGGGCTTGTCCTCTCACAACCACCTCACAGGGATGGCCACGACCAGTCAAGGGCACTTTGACCCTTATGAGGCTCTGGATCTTACAGAATTTGCCAAAAACCAGCCTTGGTGGCGCAAGCTTTTCGGGCAGGAGACGCGTCCTTCAGGCGAGAAGTACAGCGTGGCAACCCAGCTCCTGATCGGCGGCGTCACCGGCTGGTGCACTGGCTTCATATTCCAGAAAGTTGGGAAGCTGGCTGCCACAGCAGTGGGAGGGGGCTTTTTTCTCCTTCAGCTCGCAAACCATACTGGCTACATCAAAGTTGACTGGAATCGAGTAGAGAAGGACATGAAAAAGGCCAAGGAGCAGCTGACGATTAGGAAGAGCACCCAAATACCAAACGAGGTCAAGAGCAAAGCTGAGGAGTTGGTGTCCTTTGTCAAGAAGAATGTTTTCGTGACTGGAGGATTTGTTGGAGGCTTTCTGCTCGGTATGGCATCCTAAGGGGTATGGCTTCACTTCCACTGTTCAGCAGCTTCTACATACCATCGTAGAACAATCTAGACTCTCTTCCTCCTCTTCATGCCCTCCTCCCTGTTGTAAATCTGAACCGCTTCCATGGGCATCTGCCCATGCCAGTTAACACAGGTCCTCCCATGGGCTTGACAAGCCACGGGGAAGCACTCTCTCCATCTGGAGGCCAACAAGAAGGGTCCTTTTCCCGTGTGTAAAATCTGTCCCAACCATCTTTAAGATCTATCCCTAACAGTCGAGCTGGAAGAGCGGTGCACAATTACCTTACTATGCGCTATGTGGAAAGGAACTGAATGTATCTGACTTTGAGCATGGGAAGAAAGAAAATAAAGCAGGGACAGTTGTGGGAGTACTACACACTAGCCAGCTATTTTAGGGGGACAGTCTCCTTACAGCATTTTACAAGTAAATTGATGCTTCCTTTTCCTCTTGACAACAACCCCAGTAAACTATAATTATTAGAGTTATCTTAGTTTGGAACTCAGAAGTATGACAGACACTCTTCAAAAAGGGCCAGAACTTAAATACCTGAAAGCCTCACTAAGACCTATTTGGGGAGGGGGGACTCTAGGGGGCCCAGAGCCTTGCTTTTACTACTCATACTAGGCCGAGGGCTCTCCCTGAGCTATATTCCCAGCCTTTTGGGTAGTTTTCATTTTGAGAGGTCTCACTAAATTGCTCTAGCTGGCCTGGAACTTGACATCCTTATGCCTCAGCTTCCTGTGGAGGTGGGATTGCAGGCCCAAGCCACCGGGAACAGCTTCCCCAGGACCTTAAGAAAGAACTGAAGAACACATCTCCGAGTCTACTTTGCCTCTTCTCAATCTTCTCATTTGCCTTTTCCTCCAGGATTAGTTTGCAAGAACCCATCTAGTTGGGTTCTCTGCTTCAGGGCCACGTCTACTTCAATCAAACGTCAGCTGGGTGAAATTTTCATCTAGAAGCTTCAAGGAGAAGAATCTGCTTTCGGGCTCTTAGGTTTGGGGTACAGTTTATATATTTGCAACTATAGGATTTATTCATATTTTGACCTTTGTCAGCCAGAGGACAAGCTCAGCTTTGGGAGGCTATCCACTCAGTTCATCTCACACTGACTTTGCTCTCTCCATATAAGTCAGAAACAGCAGCTGACTTATTTTCTTCACGGCCAGGTGGAAAGAGAGAGAGTGGGCTCTGGGGGTCCAACACCTCTGCAGAAAAGGGCAATTGTGTGAGTGCAATCAATGTTTCCATTGCCTGTTGGTTAAACGGTAAAAATCATGGGTCCTGCCCAAACTCAACTCTGTGAGCAACAAAAAGCAATATCTTATGGACCACCTGGAAACTGTATGCTGCATGGGGAGAAGAAACCGTTCCTTCTCAGCCTTTGAGTATGTCTGGGTTGACACCTTTACTACCAGGATTAGACCTTCATATTTCTACCACAGGAGGAAAAAACCCTACTAAAACCACAAACTCCATAGACCTGAGCAACCACTTGTTTATAAGCCAATTGGCTCTTTACACTTTCAATCATGTTTATATTCTTCCATTCACTTAAACTCTTACTTAAAAAAACAACCCCTCCAAAGGAAAATGCCAATTAGTACTTTGGGTTTTTTTAGTCATTAAACAAATGGTAAATGGAAATTGGCTTTTATGGTTTTCTTTTTGAAACAGGATCTCATATAATTCAGTCTGATCTCAAATCAACTTGTAGCCAAGGATGACCTTGAACTCCTGATCCACCTACCTCACAAGTGGGCGAACCACATACATGTACCACCATATGCAAGTGGAAAACTGACTTCTTAAATGTTATCTATCTGCATTATATACATATTCTACTTTAAAACAGGTATCAAAATCACGTAAATATATATATATTCTACTTTAAAATAATTATTAAAATCATGTAAGTTTACAGAGAGAGAGAGAGAGAGAGAGAGAGAGAGAGTTTAAACTGCTTGTTTTTTATTTAAAACTAAATGTCAGTGTAATCTAATAGAGATGTATCTTAGTAGCACAGTGCTTTTCTGGCATACATAAATAAAGCCTTGGGTTCCATTCCCAGGATCATCAACCAACCAACCAAAAAAATATTATTTAGTAAGGTGTAGTGACAGCTATCTATAACCCTAGCACTTAGAGGCTGAGGCAAGATGGTCATGAGTTTAAGGCCTGGGCTACCAATAAGATCTCATCTTAACAACAAAAAAAAAAGTATCTGAGAGGCTGTGGGTGTACATTAAGCATGTATAAGCCTTGGATTCTATAAGATCCCAGTTCCTCTCAGGGTTCTTGCTCTTAAAACCTTTAGTATTTCCTGAGTTATAACTGTGTTATGCTAATGAGGTGACTCATAGTGAGCTTGCAAATTGTTTCAGGTCATCAGATAGATAAACCACATGATCAGAAGGTTGGAACTTTAGTCCAGCTTGACCTCCACAGAGGAAGGGAACTGGACATTATATTCTATCAGGGGCCCACATAGTTTATCATGTCTGAGTACTATAACCCCAATACAAATTCTGGACATTGGCTTTGGTGGGACTCTGTTGGTCAGACCTTCATGCCTGGATGGAGACACTCCCTGATTCCATATGTAGAGACCATGGTATCTCAACATTTTTGGCTGTTTTTGTGTTGTATCTATCCTTTATTATAAGCACTGTATAGGGTTTTATAAAGTTCTGTCAATCATTCTAACAAATTATTGATCCACAAGAAGCTTAAGAAAACTTTTCTTATAGCCAAGTCAGAAGTTATCTTTCTGAAGGCCTGGAGACCCCTAAAGTAAGAATGGCATCTAGGGCAGTAGCATCTTTGAACATACACCCTTAATTTGGGGAGTTTGCACTAATGGACTGTAACTATTAGAGGTGAACTAAATTGGAAACAGAATAGCCAATGTATTCTTTACCCAATTAACAAAATTCTAGGGCTGATGGGAAGGCTCAGTAGGTAAAAACACTTGCCACCATGTCTCATATCTCTTTGATTCCCTAAGACTTACATGGTTGGAAGGAGAGAACTGATTTCTGTAAGTTGTGCTCTGGCATCCACTTGCACACCATGGTATGTGTATATACACACACAAATATAATGTTACATATGTTACATACTCCCAATTAGGTCAGCTCTTTGGATAAATGGGGTGGAATGGAGGTACAGTTTAAGGCAATATAATTCTAAATGCTGAACAGTTATTGCTATGGCTTGGATCTGAAATGTCCTCTGGATGTGCTAAATGCTTGGTGCTCAGCTTATAGGGTAGTAGTACAACCTTATGAGGTGATTTAGTTCCTGGGGGATGTATGCTTGAGTTATATCAAGAGCCTGCCTCCTTCTCTTCTCTCTGTCCTCCTTTCATCTCACTCTTTCCCAGTCCATGACTGGAAGGAGCTTCTCTGTCACATGTTCCATGTCATGATGTTCTACCTTGACATGGGCCTAAAAGCAAAGTGGTAAAATGAGCACCAACTAAAGCCTCTGGAGCCATGAGCTGAAACACACTTTGTGGGTTGGTTTGATGAGAATGGCCCCCACAGGCTCATGCATTGGAATACTTGGACTCTACTTGGTGAAACTGTTTGGGAAGGATTAGGAGGCCTTGTTGGAATGTCACTGGGGGTAGGCTTTGAGGTTCCAAAAGCCTACACCATTGCCAGTTAGTTTCTCTGCCTCATGCTTGTAGATCAAGATATAAGCTCTTAGTTACTGCTCCAGCACCATGCCTGCCTGCTGCCATGTCCCCACTACAGAGGTCATTGACTTTTGAATTTACATTCAGAAACTATAAGCCCCAAATAAACTCTTCCAGAAGTTACTTTGGTCATGGTGTCTTCATAGCAATAGAAAACACTTTAGGCTGGGTTTCCTCAGTTTAGGCTGGGTTTCCTAGATATTTTGTCACACAGACAGGAAGCTAACAATGATGTTTATATACTCATTACTTATATTTTTGTATCTATAACTGCAGAACAGTTGCATACTATTGTAATACAGGTCCTGTCTTTTTTCTACTATCGTACATTAGGATCAACATTCTTCTTTGGAATATCCATGGGTCATGACACTAAGTCAATTCCATGTGAGCGAGCAAACAAAACACGAAATATTCTCCAACAAGAAACAGTATGCTCTTCAAGAGCTGTTTTCTATTTTATTTTTTGGTTTTTTGAGACAAGGTCTCTCTACATAACCCTGGCTATCCTGGAACTCACTACATAGACCAGGCTTGCCTCAAACCCCACAGATATCTGTCTCTGGCCCATGACTGCTGGGATTAAAGGGAAATCCCAACATGCTCATAGCACTTTTAAAAAATTACATTAATTTCTGCATGTGTGGCAAAGCACCTAATAACCAACTTTCAAATATTTTGTAATGGACAATATTCATTATATACCAAATTGTGCAGTCCTTTCTGCTTTTCAACTCTACACTAGAGAACTTTCCCAAATCATTTTGCTTTCCTATGTAACAGACCACTCCAAGCCTGGAGGCAATTTATTTCCTGGCTATATTTACCTACTAGCAAGCAATTCACAGATGAGGAACAGAAAGCAAAGCAAACACACACAGTTTATTATGTATTTGGTTCCGAAACCAGGTCTTCTTAAATTCCATTTCAGTCCCCAAACAATATAAAATGAAGGCTTTTCTGAATTTCTAAATGATTGGTGTATGTGTGTGATGTGTGTGAGTGTGTGTGTGTGTGTGTGCATGCTCACGCAGGGTCACTTGCCAGTGGAGATGCAGTGGCCAGAGGATAGGGTGTTCTCCTTATCACTCTGTCTTGAGACCAGGTTGCTCACTGAACCCAGAGCGAGGGCTAGCAGCCAGCAAGCCCTTGCAATCCTTGTTCCCATCACTCAGATAGTGGTGGGGTTACTGACAAATGCAGCAATGCCCAGCCTTTTTCAAAAGTGTTGGGGACTTGACCTCAGATCCTCCCACTTGTGTAGAAAGTGCTCTTACCCACTGAACATCTCCCCAGCCTCTAAAAACAGATCTTTCTAGGCAGGGCTGGCTATGTTCACGATCTCCAGAACTATGAATTTTCAAAGTAGGGATAAAGACAGCACCAATTTACCATAAGGAAGTGCCATCTGGAGCTGTTCCAGGTACTAAAAGCCCTCAGGTCAAGCAAGACACAGTGAGATCCTGCAGAAGTAGATGCCACTTTGAAGTAAGTACCAAGCAAAAGAAAAGGGACACAACTGCCACCTACATTTTTAATAGCAAGTAGGAAGGGGAAAAACAAAGTGGGACAAAAATAGAAGTATGACCACAGAGCCAAGGAATGAAATGTCTTTCCTAGAAATGTTTTATTGCTAATGTGGCACTTAAATCTATTAATATTACTCCACCTAGTACTTTTTAATCTATTACTCTGATGTCTAAGTATTTAAACGACCATTACTTTTTCTTTCTAGACTTTTATCATGTGTGTGTATCTCAAAGGCATAAGTATAGTTTCAAAAAATGTCACCATGGAGAGAAACCCATTTCTGCAAGCTGTCTTCTGCCTCCTTCACATGTTCGGTAGCATATGCAGTTTTATCATGTGTGTGTATCTCAAAGGCATAAGTATAGTTTCAAAAAATGTCACCATGGAGAGAAACCCATTTCTGCAAGCTGTCTTCTGCCTCCTTCACATGTTCAGTAGCATATGCACACCTGCACATTTGTACACAAAAATTTAAAAATGTAATTTTTAATGTATCATGCACAATAACTTCGATCTTGTCCCCCCAAAGAGACCTAATTTTCATTTCAATTTTTTTTAAAAAAAAAATTATGTGTATCAGAGTTTGCCTGAATGTATGTATGTGTACCATGTATGTGCCTGGTGCCTGTTGAGGTCTGAAGAGGGAGGGCATCAGATTCCTTAGAACTGGAGGATTGTTAGTTACCATGTAGGTGCTGGGAATCAAATTCTGATCCTCTGCAAGAGCAACAAGGGCCTTTAATCTCCGAGCCATCTCTCAGTCCCCCATTTCCCACTTTCAAATCATAAAAATGTCAACTCTGTTAAAATCTACTACTCTTAGGCAATCAATTTAATTACTTTTACTCTTGCACTGTAGAAGAGTAAGTGTTTGGGAGGGATGTAACTATCTGTTCTGAACAATTCAAGAAAACCCAACAAAGGTCTGGGCATACAGCTCAGTTGGTAACTTTCCTGTAGAGCATTTGCAAGGTTTAGTTCACCAAAAAAGAAAGGAGGGGGAAAAGAATACCCAACCAGTCCCACATCTTTGAGTAATGCATTCACTTATTTAATCTCTTCAACTTTTGCTCCTCTTTTTGGTGGACTATTTAAAAAAAAAACACAGTTGTCCTCCATGTTTGCTTTGATTGCTACTGACGATGTGTTTCTGAGCAATCAGTCTATTTAGATTAGGAGTTGTTTATGTACTCACTGCATGTGCTTCTGTGGTCTGAAGTCATCACTTGGAGGCAGTAGTGGAAAAAGCTAGGTTTCTCCACTAGCTCTGTGACCTTGAGTGAGCCACCTCAACTTCAAAGTGGGAAACTACACTTGGAACTAATACATAGCAACAAATTATTTCAATTGAATAAACACCGAATGCTTGTTTTGACATCAAGAAGCACGAGAAGATATTCGTAGTAGTATTCTG